CTATTTTATTGGAGTACAAATTTTCAAAATAGTCTCTGAGTATCATTTTTATTTCAATAGTGTCCATCACGAGGTTTCCCTTTTCATCACATGATTAAAAACCAGAAATAAACCAAAAGGACTGGAAATACAAATCATGTCTTAATAGTAACTTTGAACATAAATGTCCTAAACTTATCAAATTAAAAGACATAAACTTGCATATTAGATTAAAAAACAAGACCCAACAAGGTTTTCTCTCCAGGAAACTCATTTCATAGGCAAAGACATCCAGATTGAAGGAGAAAAGATGGGAAAAAAAAACATGTCAATCACTTGGATCTTGTAAAGAAGCAGGGTTTTCTATCTTCTTATCAGACGAAGTGAACTTCAAGCAAACAGCTTCATATCTTTTAATCAAACATATTCTAAGATTTTGCCATGTGCATGAAATGAATATTCTTTCTTTCATTTCTTCTTGGTAGGAAAGCTAAATTTCAAGGAATGTATTTAGTAACTGATTTGTTAAATAAATGAAGCTTATGGATAATAATGGATGTATGATAACTAAATGAATAACTGTTATAGAACATGCAAAAAGGTTTTTGATACAGAAGGATCAGATGTTACCATTGTTATTATTAACAAAATACATATTTATGGGTTATAGTGTATGATAACTCAATAATTCTATATATAATATTTAATAATCAAATTTGAGGCCTGTTCAACATACAGAAATCAATAAACAGAATTTACCACATCAATACACTTGAAGATAGGAATCATATGATTATATCAATAGATGCAGAAAAAGCACTTAACAAAATACGGCTCCTCCTTTATGTTCAATACACTAGAAAACTGAGGGGTAGTAGGAATGTTCCTCAACAATGTAAAAACTATATATGCTGAACCTAAGACTAACATCATTCTAATTGGGGAAAAATTGAAAGCATTCCTTCTAAAAACTGAAATAAAACAAGAATGCCCTTTTTTACCACTTTTATCCAACAACATGCTTGAAACTCTAGCCAAAGAAATTAGAGACAAGAAAGAAATTAAAGGGTTACAAATTGCAAAAGATCCCTAACTATCCCTATTTGCCAATGATAGATTCCATGTTTAGAAGACCCAAAAATTTCCACCAGAAAACTTGTAGAACTCATGAATGAATGCAGAAAATTAGCAGGATATAAAATTAACACCCATAAATCAATTGCATTCCTATATATCAGTGATGAATCTCCTGAAAGAGAAATTAGGAAAATTACCCCATTTACAATAGCCTTAAAAAAATACTTGTGAATCAATCTAACAAAAGAAGTGAAAGACCTCTACAATGAAAACTACAGAACACCAAAGAATGAAGTTGAAGAAGACCTTAGAAGATGGAAAGATCTCCTCTGTTTTTGGATAGGCAGAATTAATATTGATAAAATGGTTATAGTACCAAAAGCACTACACTGATTTAATGCAATTCCTATTAAAATCCCAATGATAAACTTTATAGAAATAGTAAAAGCAGTCATTAAATTTATTTGGAAAAATAAGAGACCCCAAATAAGCCCTAAGCCATTTTTAGTAAGAAAAATTATACAGAGACTTCACAATACCAGATTCTTAAGTTATACTACAGGGCTTTCGTAACAAAAAATGACATGGTATTGGCACAAAAACAGACATGTAGACCAATGGTACAGAATAGAAGACACAGGGACAAACTCACATAACAATAATTATCTCATACTATACAAATATACATTGGAGAAATGAAAGCCTCTTCAACAAATGATGCTGGCAAAACTGAAATCCACATGTAGCAAAAGGAAAATGAACCTCTGTCTCTCACCCTACACAAAACTCAACTCACAGTGGGTCAATGTCCAAGACATTAGACCAGAGACCCTGTGCCTAAGAGAAAAAAGTAGGCCCAAATCTATACCATGTCAGCTCAGGAACTGACATCCTTAACGAGACTCCTAAAGTGCAAGTAATAAATCAAGAATCAACAATGGAATGGTCTAAATTTAAGGTCTTTTTTCTATAACTATCTGGTTTTATCAGCCATCTGTTATTGACAAGATTATTCTCTAACCACTGAACTGCATTGCTGTAATTTTGGCCAATTGGGTGACTATGCATGTAGGAATCCATGTATTCTCTGTTTTATAAAATAGTTGCAGTCATCCATCCTCGCAATAATTCCACAAGGGTTCAATTTTTGAAGTTTTATCTAATAATAATAGACCATTGATAAGAGTTCATTACAGATGGACTGTAAGTTAATTATGAAAGGAAAGCAATAAAATTTTTAAGTAGAAACAAAAAGCATAAGAATTAAACAGTTTGAGCAGGTGAGTGGGGAATGAGGTCCTATTCATGAAGCTGGCTGTTTGTGGCACCACACGTAAGAGTGTGGCTTTATTTAAAGATCCAATTATTATGCGGGCAAAACTGAGCTATGTCTGAAACTCTTCATTTTTATAAACTCATCAGAATAATTCCATGTCTGTGGAAAAATGCTGATCAGCAGGAATAAAATGCATAAAAGTAACAAGCGTGTGCTATCAAGACATATGATCTGCTCATTTAATTTTGACTCTGCCGGAATATAATTAACAAAATAATGCTAGCTTGTGCAAAATACCAGAATAGATGCCCCTGAAGGAGGCAAAATTCAGAGCAGCTCGATAACTCCAAAGCAGAATAGTGACAAATGCAGAATTAAAAATGAACGTTCACATGATCATTAACATGCTGCTAGAATAAAGTGTGTCTCATTCTACTGTTCCTGCATTTGACACAGATGTGGCTGGCTTAGTATGCCACATCTGTTCTTGCTTCCACAGAACTGGAAGATGGAGTTTGCACTTTATTCCATTCAACATGAAAACGTTCTATTCACATCAGAATCAGTGAGCAATTGACGATTCCAAGGGAAAAACAGAATTAACTTCAAACCTGACACTGCAGCACAACTTAAAAGAGTTTAATTGAAAATAACTTTTTTTTTTCTTCTAAATCTCTCTCTGGATACATTTCCAGCCTAGGATTTTATCCTTGCTCACTTTGCTGTATCAGCTGCCTTTCAAGTGTGTGCTCCGTGGATACCTCACATTCTCCTTTTTGCCTGGACTCCTGGGAAACATAATCCAGATTTCTTCTCAGGAAAGTGGCAGCTCCAGACAGTTAGCCCTTACAAGCGTTTCCTGTTCCAGCAAATCCTGGCAAATTACATTCTTACATTCTTTCTGTCTAAAAACATGTGTCTTCTTCCTCACCAAAAACAAAACAAAACAAATGTTTCAAGGAGAAGACAGCACCCAAGATTTTCTTGTGATACCCAGGGCTCACTTGACCCCTGGCTTAAACTCCTCTCCCAAGTTAGGGATTGAGAAGATTCTCCTCTTGAAGTTGCACTTCTTATCCCATTGTTATGGTTTACATATGAAGTGTCCCCAAAAGCTCGTGTGTGAAACAGTATGAGAAAGTGAAATAATTGGGTTACAAATTCCTTAACATGATCAGTACAGTAATCCACTGATGAGGGTTGATTGGGTGGTATAGGCAGGTAGGGTGTGGCTGGAGGAGGTGGGTCCCTGGGGGCATGCTTTTGTGGTTTATATTTTGTCTTTTATGAATGAGTCTCTCTCTGCTTCCCAATGACCTTATTCTGAGCTGCTTTCCTCCACCACACTTCCACTATCATGTTCTGCTTCACCCCAGGCACATACCAGTGGATTTGGCTGCCTATGGACTAAGAAATCTGTAACTGAGCACCAAATAAACTTTTTCTCCTCTAAGTTGTTCTTGTCTGGTCTTTTGATCACAGCAGTGAAAAATTGTACTAAAACATCCAGCCTGATGGCTTAGCTAAAAAGAAAATATCTTCTCTCAAGTCCAGATTTAACTTCTCTGCCCAGGCAAAGTTCCACTTGTGTCAGCTGAGGTCAATAGGTGGAACTTAAGGGAACACATAATTACTACTGGAACTAACAGAGGAGCACCAAGACTTGCGAAAGTGTTTCTTATAATGTTCCTCTCTTCTATAAGGTCACATTCCAACTACCACCATGGCTTGTTTCATTTGGAAATCATGGTAAGGAAACACCTTGTCTCATTTTCATCATTTTGACTTAATCCAAAATACAGCTCAGAGCTGCACCTTCATTTACAAATCCCATACAATTTCTCAAAACATAACCCAGATGTTGCCTCTTTCGAGGGGTGTGGTACTTCTCTCTCACCACACTTTGGTCCTAAAGGAAGACTCAACATGCATTCAAATTCAACCATAAGGAAACACTTAAAGCATCAGAGACAGTCATATAGATCTGATTATGGATTTTGTTGGGAGGCAGAAGGAAGAGTTGGCATTTAGCATCACACTATAATCTAGTCAGTCTTTAAACTTCCCTCTCTCTAGGTATTGCTGGCCTTTAATGACACTATTTAGCTAAACTTCCAGTCCATTTCCTTCTCCCTTTGACTTCTGTCACAATTCACAGTGACACCTTTTAACACCAATTCCACACGGGTGACTTTAGGGATGTTTCAGCCATTTAGTTCTGCCATCTTTTCATAAAGAATAATGCCATCAGGACATCTGTGTTTCTATAGCCACTTTAGAATGCTCTTGACTTGAAAGATCTTCCTATTTTTCATTGTACCATAAACTTGTTGAAAGTTTTAATCACAATCCGTGCATAAATTATTTAATATTCTAATATAGACTAAGGCATATGGGTCCTCTATGCACATTATAAATATTGGAACAAGGTATATTTATTACAACTACGAGTAATATTTTATTCACATAAAATGGACATGCTAAAACTGAAATAAGAAAAATCATAAAAAATTTTTTACAAATTTCCTGTTATGATGTTTCTTACAGAGTGAATAATATTAAAGTCACTTTAATAGGAAGGTTATAGATATTAAAATGCAATAAATGGTTGCTTATGTTAAATTACCATGAATAATGATGCTTATTATAATTTGAAAATTTTGCTTACTTCTGTCAGATGGTCAAAAGTTGTTTTAGCAGTTTGGATCATAAGTTGCTGGGTCAGTTGGTCTAATTCTAGAAGAAAACAAAATATTTAGAATATCTTTAGAAGTAATTTTTAAATTCAGGAAAAAGTAGAGAAGTTACTAATCTTTTCATTATCTACATCAAAATATCACAAAAAATTGGAATTCACCTAATAATAAAATTGATTCATAGGCATTTGATCGAAACCAAGAGAAAGCATATAATTTATCATTGAAATGTGGGTATGTTTAAGAATAAAAAAGGAAGAATTAATAGATATACTTGAATTTTGGAGTGTACCAGGTTACCCAAAACAAACCTAATGGGACTTAAAAGGAATTGTGCAGGGGGAGGGGTGCTTTGAAGAAGTCTAAATTCAAGAACAAAGAAACAATCCAAGATAGATAACAATCATTTGTGTTTTGGGCATAATGGATCTCCACTGCATGAAAAGATAGGACAAAGGACTATGTCAACACAGGGAAGATGATTAAGTTAAAACAGAAAAAAAAAAAACATGATCTTCACTGACATTATTGAATAAATGACCTTATCTTTAAATTAGCTCTATTTTTTAATTGTTCAAAATCAACCTAAATGATAAATATAAATATGCAATAAAATGTAGGACTTTGGTATTTTGTGCATAATCCATTAAATTACTGGACCAGCTATTTTTATCAGTTTTCCTCCCTTGGTTTAAATAATGTTTATATTCTCTTTTTTTCCTCAACATCCAATATATGATGAATCCACTAACATTTTTTAAGGTAAAACAATGTCAGTTTCACACTACACTACATAATGTAAGTAAAACTATTAACTGACCTGAGAGTCTATTTAAAAGTCAATATTCATAAAAATTATGGTGCAATTTAATACTTTGAAAAACATTATTTGCTGCTCCAAATAACAGAAATTGAAAAACAATACAAATACAGAATCTTTAAAGCCCAAATTAATTTGATTGTTATGAATAGAGCTCATGAAAGTCAGCTAATCTAAGAAGGGCATGCCAAATAATGTAACAGACTCTCAGGGTACGGCCAATGGAAACAGTCTGAGAGCAGATGTCTCAGAAACCAAGAATGCCATCTCTATACCCTGGGACTTGTATGGCCCACCATATCAAAGCCTTTGATTCCCATTAACATCATCCACCCACCTCCTCCCTTCCTCCTATCATCTTATGTTTAACTAATGTGGAATTGTAAACCCAAGTTTTATATGATTTTGTAATTCAGTAAACTACCCTAGTGATAAATTTTTTAAATCATTTTTTATTGAAACTTGTCAATACCTATAACATTGTTCATATTAGGTTAAAGGTATAAACCTGCTTCAATTTCATCAATTAAGGCATTCTCTTTCCTGGGATCTGTAAATGGCACCCAAAAATGAAATTGTCTGGTACAAGAAAGAAGTGAAAACAATTCAAATTTGATTGTGCATATTAAATGCTAAGCACCATCCAGACAATGTTCACGTTAACTCAATGAAGCCTCAAATGATTTCTATAAGACAGTAATCTTGCCACAATTTTACAAGTAATAAATTGACATCTCAGGAAAATTAAGCAATTAGCACTACAGATTTTGGTCAAGTTATTTTTAGCTTGATAAAAAGATAAAAGTAGATAATTACCTCCTTGTAAATTATAGATATGATTTCTGCTAATGATTTTCATTAAACTGTATAAATTTCCCCTAGATTTTATAAAGGATAGGAATATCATTTTGTCAAAATAGATGTTAACATTATTATTCCAGTTGGTTTTTTAACACCAGCTTCATATAATTTAGAACATATTGTTACATTTAGTAATTTCTAAAATCAACTTAGAGAAAAAATATGCAACTGTTTTAAAATAAAAAGTTCATTTGTGATATGACTAAATTATTATAACATACTGTACTTGAATATAAGATTGTTTTAAAAAAAACTAAAGTGAGTAGTCACTCAAAAAGCAGATATTAAGATGGGCTGTATTTTGTCCCTCAAATCACTGCAACAGAAAGGAATTCAAAATAGGAAGATGTCATTTCTGAATTGCAGTCAACGCTGGCACAGAAAACTTTTCATTACTTTTCTAAAGGCATTTTAAGAAGCAGAGATGAGTACAGAAATACCATATGATTTCATTTCAGCAATTATGATAGTCATAAAAGAATTCTTGTTTCCTTTTCTTTATAGCTTCAGAAAGATCTCAGGAGGAACAGCTGAAAAAGTAATGTCAGATTGATCTACAGGATATAATTCAAAGGGTCCTGCTGTTAGTAGGTTTTCCTAAAGAAGAATGTCCTCAAGTTTTGACATGTTTTCATTAGAGTGTTTACATGACACCCTGAAGCCTCAATGATGGTGAGGAAAGTGGAACTTTGCGGATTTATTGAACAAATAACAAAAAAATTTTAAAGTTTCTGAAAAATGACTATATGCTGTTTCTCATTCATTCTGTAAATGTAATGAAATATATAGGTTTTTTATTGTTAGCTAATCTTAACATTTCTGGAATAAACTTGATACATAGTACTACTTCAGATTCAGTGTCCTAATATATTGTCTTAGTACTATCTATATTGTATTAGTATTATATACATATACAATACTTTACATGTATTGGTACTATTCTGCTACTATTCAGCATGTATGCATATTTGTGAATTAGCCAGTACTTACTTTTTCCCTGCAATGTCCTTGCCAAGTTTGAGTACAAAAAATATGACAGCTGATTAGCATCCAGTCAAGTTCCTCAACCTTTCCTTCAGCAGGGTTTGTGTAGGATTGATGTATGTCTTCCCTTACTGTTTTGCAGAATGTACAAGCTGTACCAAATGAATGTGTGTGTGTGTGTGTGTGTGTGTGTTGGGGGGGCCTTCAAATTATGTATTCAGTTTCTTTAATAAACAAAGTATTCACAGTTTCTATTTCATTTTGTGAAGATTTTTTAGGTTTCACTTTTCCAGAAATTTGTCCATTTCATCTAGATAATGAAATATTATTGACATAGTCATTTGTAACATTTTTTAAATGTATGCTCTTGATACATAACACACATTCCCCCTCAACCCTGTATAAATCTCTGCAGAGTTGTATCAATGTCAGTAATCTCTTTACAATCATCTTGTGATTTTATTGATTAGCTCCTCAGCTGGACTTTTTTTTTTTATTTTAAAATCCTGCTTTTGTTGTTTGTTTCTTTTACATATTTTATTTAAGTTTCTCCACATTTCTAATATCTTGGAGCAAGAGATAGGCTCTTTAATTTCATCACTTTTGTTTCTCCATTTACAACTTGTATTTTTTTAATTATTTTTTTGTACCAGGGATTGAACCCAGAGGGGTTTAATCACCAAGCCACATCCCCAACCCTATTTATTTATTTATTTGTTTGTTTATTTATTTATTTATTTATTTATTTGAGACAGTTTCTAAGTTGCTTAGGGCCTTGCCAAGTTGCTGAGGTTGGCTTTGAACTTGTGATCCTCCTATCTCAGACTTCTTAACTGCTGCAAGTACAGGCATGCACCATCATGCCAGGCTAGCTACTAACTTTTCCTGTAATCGTGATGACTTTTATTATAATCAACAAGTTTTGATATATAATTAGCAGTTTCACTTTAATTAAACAAAAATATTTTTCTCTTTCCACTGATCTCTTCTTATGCTAAAGATTTTTAAAAGACTCTTAATTTCAAAACAATTGGACTTTCCAGTTATCTATTTGTCATTCCTGGATTAACAATAGAACATATTTTGAAATCATTTGAGATCTGGTGAAATATGTTTTATGGTACAGCATAGGATGAATTTGTACAAATATGTAACAACATTTCATCCAAATCTTGAAGTTTCTATTGAGATATAATTTACAAACCATAAAGTTCATCCATTTAAAAGTGTGTAATTTGGTGGGTTTTGGTATATTTGTGTAATTATCATTACTAATTAGATGCATTAGGCTTTAGAATAAATTTCTCTCCATTTCCACCTCCCTCCTATCTTAGCACACACTAATTTATTTCCTGTCTCTGTGGAGTTGATTATTCTGGACATTCCATATAATTGGATCAATATAATATGTAGCTTTTGTGACTTTTTAGCATAATATTCAAGGGTCACCCATATAGTTTGTGGCAAAAATTGGTATTGCATTGCTTTTTATGGATGAATACTAGCATCTTGTATGTGTATACCATATTTTCTTCATTTACTCATCAGTTAATGGACATTTAGATTTTTTCCATTTGTGGGTATTAGGAATAATGCTGTCATGAACATTCAAGCAAAAGTTTTCGTGTATATATTTACAGTTTTCTTGGACATATACCTAGAAGTGAAATGTATGAAAACTCATGATTTGCTCTTTGTAGACTGTCACAATATTTCTTGAAGCAATTGCACTATTTTTCTTTCCTATGTGCTATGTACAAAAGTTTTAGTCTCTCTACATTCTTTCCAACACATATGATTATCTGTATTTTTTGTCTTACTAAAGACATGACATGGCATGACATTATTGTCCCAATTTTCATTTCTATTAATTTTAGGAAATTATCAGTCATTTACTTTTCAACTGAGTTATTTCTGGGTTTATTACTGAATTATAATAGTAATTCAATAATTAAAAGAGTGTTTTTTTATTTCATTGTTAGAGTCCTTCATAAAAATTTTAAACTCTAGTGAAGCCCAGTTTATTTATTTATTTTCACATGGATTGCTTGTTCTTTAGATGCAATATGAAGAAAACAATTTTCTAGAGCAAGATTGTAAACATTTTACCTATGTTTCATTCTAAGAGTTTTACAGATTTTGCTGCTGTATTTACATATTCCATGCCTTTTAACTTATTTTTTGTGTATCATATAAGGTAGAAAACCAAATTTATTTTTTGCATGTGGGTGTTCAATTGTTTCTCTATCGTTTATTGAAATTGTCTTGGTATGTTGAAAATCAGTTGATTATAAATGTGTGGGTTTATTTCTGAACTCTCAAATTATTTTCCATTAGTTACTATCTCTACCATTACTCCAATATCACAAAATTAG